CTCGGGGATGCAGTGCTGACGCCCCGACCTTGGCGAGGAAACCCGAGCGCTGGAGCTCCGACGAAGCCAAGTTAAAATCGCCTAACACGATCCAAGGGAGCTGTAAGGCCTGCAAAAGCGCACCGAGCCGAGCGAATCTAGCAAGGTTTTCTGCGCGCATGCCGAGACTACACCTGCCGTAGAAGACAACGATCACTATGCTGAACCCCTGCTGGTGGAGAACAACTGGCAAGAACCCGTCCAGCTGCTTGTGTCCATCTGCATACGGTTCCCCGAAGCGACCGCTGCACAGCCCGTGTACTGTGCGATGCCCTTGCGACAAAAGCATCTCTCCTCCCTCCGTGGCCCTGAGCTTTCCTGACTCTGTGCGACACTGTCGGGTCGGGCGAAAGGGGGGGAAAGCAAAGGGGGGGGGCGAGAATCAGCTCACGTAGCTGTTTTTCCCGGCGCCTCCCGGCGCCGGAGGCGGCTATGCATCGAGGAGTGGGCCCTTCGGTGAGGCCGAAACCATTTGGATGCAGCAAATTTCGTAACCCCCCCTTTCCCAATCCCCACCTTTCGTCCGGCACGACACTGAGTCCCCGTCGCTCTGGCTGCACTGGCGAGAAGTCTCAGTTTGTGCTGGCGAGCCGACTTAGTCCATTTCTTCGTCGATGCTGCCCCGGCACGAGTTTCACATACAGCGAAGTGTTGAAAGGCTTGGCTCCCAGCAAGATGCACCGCATAGCCCCAAGACTTGCGGCCCAACGTCGCAATGTTCGCGTCAAAGATCTGCACCACTTCGCGGTCCCCAGGCGGCTCCGCAGCTGCAGACGCCGCGACGCCAGCATCCCCCAGGGCGCCGCCGAGGCCAAGCTGAGGCTGCTCAGCTCCTGGCCCAGCCAGCTGTCCAGAGGTGCCCGCCGCCGCCCCCGCGGTCGAAGCCCCACGCGACGACCCTGTAGACGAAGAACATGGGGCCCTGGACGATCCCTCCCCCCTAGCCTCCTTTGGAGGGCCCGCGGCCACAGCGGCAGCTGCCGCAGGTGGGGATGGGTCCAGCCCGCCCGAAGATGCCGAAGCGCTCGGCGACGAAGTAGTTCCCCTGGCGCCAGCGGCGCCGATGCCAGCATCAGCAGCGGGGGCTGCCAACGCTCCCGAGGCCTCGGCCCCTGCCCCCTCCACGCACGACAGCAGAGGTGCCGCAGGGGCCGCGGCTCCTCAGGCCGCACCGCCAGCGCCGCGCCCGCCGCCTGTGGCCGCGGCGCGCTGTGCCACCCGGGCGGCCTGGGCGGCTGTAGCTGCCGCAGCCTGAGCCGCCGCTGCCTTGGCACTGCGGATGCGCTCCACCTCCGCGTCGATACGCGTCTGGGCGTCGCCCTCAGCCTCCGTTGCCACGGGCGCGGGCTCCTCATGCGCTGCAGCAGGCGCGGCAGCAGCGGGCTCCACCGTGATGGTGGTCTGCGCGGTGCCGTCCGCGCCCTTGCGCTTCTTGGCCATCCTCGTGGCCAGCTCGTTCCTGGGGACCTCCATGCGAGCGTACCACTCGCGCACCTTGTCACCGAGGTAGGACTTCGCCGCGACCAGGTCCTTCTCGAGCTGGAGCAGCTCTTGCTTCTCGGACTCCTCACACTCCATGGTGCCGTCCCGGAGCGACGCGAAGAAAGCCTCGTTCCAAACGACGTCAAAGCTGAGGTCCCTCCCTGTCTTCTCTGGGGACGGTGCCACCTCAGGAGCCTGAGGGGCGAGGCCTGCCTCCGCCGCGAGAGCCCTCACAGCCGTCCTCTTGGCGAACCCGGCCCGCGCTAATGTGCGCACCGTCTCATCCTCTCGCTGCCGCGCCTGGGCGAGCTGCTCCACCGCCCGCTCGACGGCCTTGACCGCCGCGTCGTGCTTCGCGTTGGCGTCTCGCCAAGCCGCCTCCGCCCGTCGGTGAGCCTCTCCTGCCGAGACTGCAACCTTGGGCGGTGGCGCCGACTGAAGCGCCAGCTCCGCCTCCAACGCCTTCTTGAGAGCGGGGTCCTTGGTAAGCTCCGCCGCCCTCTTCAAGATCGCCGCCGAGCCTGGAGCGTTGCTGCCGTCTCATGCGGCAGCCCCAAGGCGAGGGTGCTCTGGTCCTTCGCCGAGCCGCCCTTGCCCTTGGACTTCTTCTTGTGGAGTTCCAAAGTGGCGCCACACTTGCACTTGCAATTCCTCTGGATGAGGAGAGAGTTCCACTCGCAGGTAGAGCACGAAGGGCACGGCGTGTATGCTCCTGCTGCCTTGGCCATCGGGGCGGCGCTCCCGGGATGTGCCTCCGGCCGAGCTGTGTCCCTGGCCTCCCGCAAGCGGGAACGAGCGGCCGCGCGCTCGCGCCTGGCTCGCCGACGCCAGGCCGGCGAGCGCGACCTCGGCGCGCCCGTCCTGATCGCCCGCGCGCGCGCGGGCTGGGGGCTTAGGTGAACGGGTGGGTCGATGCCTACCGCTTTGCTAAGCCACCTTGGAGGAGGATGAGGAGGAGGAGGAGGAGGAGGAGGAGGAGGAGGGGGAGGAGGGGGAGGAGGGGGAGGAGGGGGAGGAGGAGGAAGAGGAGGAAGAGGAGGAGGAGGAGGAGGAGGAGGAGGGGGAGGAGGGGCAGGAGGAGGAGGAGGAGGAGGGATGAGAAGGAGGAGGAGGAGCAGGAGGAGGAGGAGGACCAGTGTAAATCCAAGAGTTATCAACGAGGTTGGAATGAACCCTCCCTCCAAGCTCCTTCTTCGTAGGCCCCTACAAGTTTCATTTCCGTTGAGGGAATTGCCTCGTTTGAAGGCAACCGTTTGAATATCCTGAAGCGTGCCAAAACATCGCTCTCGGAACTTCAACGCCACGTCACGCATCAACCTGAACCTCAGCAGCGCGAATCAACATAGCTGTTGCGTCCGCATAATCCCGAATCCTTCTAAAACTGAATTTCTGGTACGCTGATCATGGGAATCCGTGAAACGTTTGCAAATGTTCAAAAAGAATGTGCGCGGCGCTAAGGCGATTGCCACATGTTTAAACAGAACCACCCGGCCTCAATCCGTGAAGCTCTAGTAATTTATTAAAACGAATGTGCGCGGCACTAAGGCAAGAGCCACATTTTGAAAACGACCCGCCCTCAATATGTGAAACTCTTGCAAATGTTTAAAACGAATGTGCGCGGCGCTAAGGCGAGAGCCACATTTTGAAAACGACCCGCCCTCCATGTGTGAAAGATTTGTTACGCTTTACGCTTCAGAGTCATAAATGGTAAGGAAGTCTCAAGCGAAACGCCCGGCCCGCCGTAAAAACTGGCCTCGGGGTGCGACAGGGAGAATCTATGTACAAGGAGAAGGAGTGGAGGAGGAGGAGGAGGAGGAGGAGGAGGAGGAGGAGGGGAGAGGAGAAGGGGGAGGAGGGGAAGGAGATGGGAGAGGGAAGGGGAAGGGGGGAGGTGAGGGGAGAGGGGAGGTAGAGGCTGGAAGAGATGAGGAGGGGGAGAAAGAGGAGGAGAGAAGGAGAAGTGGAGGAGGAAGATGAGGAGGCAGGAGGACGAAGGAGAGGAGGAGGGGAGGAGAGGAGGAGGAGGAGGAGGAGGAGGATGAGGAGGACGAGGAAACATGAGAGAGCGGAAATGGAGGAGATCAGGAAGGGAGGAGGAGGAGGAAGGAGGCGGAGGAGAGGAGGAGGAGGGGGAGGGGGAGGAGGAGAGGAGAGGAGAAGGAGGAGGAGCAGGAGGAGGAGGTGGAGGAGAAGGAGGAAAAGGAGGAGGTGGAGGAGGAGGAGGAGGAGGAGGAGGAGGACGAGGAACATGAGGAGGAGGAGGAGGCGCCCTTCTTCTTTCTTTCCCGGTGGGGTACTTGGTCACGGGCCTGCTTTCTCGGCTCAAGGGTGTTCGGGGTCCTTCGTCACCTTTTCCATGTTGCTCTTTCTCGCCGTCTTCCTCTGCATGGGCTTCGACCTTCCTGCCCTTCTCCGACCGACCTAGCAGGAAGAGGAGGAGGAGGAGGAGCCAGACATGCTCGCGTCGTGAGACAATCTGGACGGGAGGCCTTTGGCCGTTCTGGAGCGCTGGGGGCCCTCTGGGCCCTGGGGCCAGGAGACAAGGAAGAGATGAATCCTTCCTTCGTCTCCCGTCGTCCGGAAGCTCCGCGGCCACCTCCGCTTCTCAGAGGAACAAGACGTCATGATGAAACGTTTCAACAATTCTAGGATTTCCAGGGTCTTCGTGACGTCCGCTTGTGCCGCACGGGCTCCACAACCGAGGGTCGCTAGACACTCGTTGGGAATCCTCGGACGCAGCCTGAGCCGATCCTGGCATGACATCATTATAGTCCCACCCCTTCCCCCACCTCGACTGGGCCCCAAGACATCCAGCGTCTTTACAACAGAAGAAACCACGTTGTTTCCCAGAGTTCGGCCTCTCGGGGCCGTTTTGGGGCCCTGGGCTGTCCACATGACTGCTCCGGATGAGAAGCCGGCCGTTGGGAAAGGGTCTGGTCATTTGGGGATCGAACAAATCAAGACCTCGGGTGTCTGGCGTCCGAGAGCAGTGGATCATTTCCGGGCTGCGGTTCGCCCCAGGTCAGGTCTGCGACCACATGCGAACCCTACACCTCTGCGGCTGCGGGTCTGGTCGGCGCTGGAGTATCAGACACCCCCGTAGGGACTCACTTGGCTGCAGGCATCCTTTACGCTCTGATCCTCCGCCAGTGTTTGAGAAATCTGACCTGCGGGGGTGGGGTTCGCACCCGGTTGCCTGCTCAAGCATCCGGTGTCATGTGGATGTCCAGGCGTAGGTGGTTGTCGACTTCGGTGCCGCAAGACGTTTCCGGGCCCAGGGACCGTCGAAAGAGTCGGGACGGAACACCAGTCTGTGGGCCAGGGTGCTAGCCTCGGGGGGCCCACGTCGCAGCTGGTTGTTACGTCGGAGGAGAGGTTGCCTCTCGCTTCCCTTCCGCGCCCCCCTCCTCGCCTCCCTCCTGGTTCCTGCAGCCCCGCCCCCTGCTGCGCTTCCTGTCGCTCCCCTGGCCAGCGCCCAGGTGGGAGATCCGGCTTAGCGGCATGGCGGTCGAGGCTTTGTCTGAGGAGAAGGAGGAGCCTCCAATGTCTCTGCTTCAGGTTGCAGCTCTTGCGA